TGTGTCCCATCCAATCTGAACATCTGATCCCATGTAGAAATAGTGTCTAACTAGCACAGCTGTGGTTGGAATGGAGGAGCTGTCTGAGACTCTTCTGCCCCTGGAAGCCAAAGCAGCTGTATTTTAGGAAAAGGAACCCATGCGACAGGTTAAAGTGTATCTTCTGATATTTCCTCTGCGTTAAAAATTCTCAAGTATCAGTCCCACTGCTAAGTTCTCTATGATTTCAATTGTACATACAATGTATTCCACAGTAATTACTGCATAGCATAGTTTTAAATATATTAAACCAGTCAAACTTCACTGGTAGAATCTCTTAGATAATAAAAATAGACATATTGGATCAGGTGAGATAATAAGTAGATAAATACATGATTCCAAAGTTTAAACTTTGGGTTTTTTTCCTATACTAACATCACACAGTTTTTGTATCCTAGATTCTCACAATAGCATAATATTACTTCATAATCGCTCGGATAAGAATCTTTGTAATATTTTTCTAACACACATGCAAAGAATTTTAACTTCAAGTCATTTTAATTTTAAGCCAATCTTTCTCTGACTAAATCAAATCAAAAGAGGGCAAATATTTATGGTATTAAAGTGCCTTCAGTGCCTGCACATATTATTTAGAACTCCAAATTTTATTAATGTTTGACATTGCATTGTGGAATGAATGTCTATTCCGAGTGACAGAATTTTGATAGAGATTCCAGGAAAGTAAAATAAGATGAACAGACACAGAAAGTAGTGCAAACACAGGTCGGCATCAGGAGAAGCACAGCTGACCTGTCCCCTCAGTTTAGCACACGGTCAGGACACTGTCTCTGACCCTTTGGGAACAGTTCCATCCCCATTCTGCCCCTCTCACCGGAGCCAATTGAATCAGTTTCTCTGTACTAAAGCTTCCTCATCTTTCACTTGAAATGAACTGTAGCTCCTGCCCCAGACATTTGTCAAGGTTAACGTTCAAATCTCACACGAGATTTAAGAGTTAAGCATTCAGCTCTTTGAAGAATCCTAAAGCAGGGAAAACTTCAGTCACTGGCCCTCGTGAGCAGCAGCAGTGAAGTGGAGCATGTGGAGTCTCAGCCTGGGCTCAAGCTCTCACACAGAATCCTCTGGCTCAGAAGGCCCCATCCTCAGTGGGAAAGGAGATTTTCTCCAGGGACCAGGATTGCTGCAGCTGACCACATGCTGTACTTGTAGTCCAGGAGCTGAGGCTTACACATGGCTGGTGTCCTGCAAGGGTCTTCTATGGCTAAAACCTGGTTCCTGGTGTGGTCGGGAGGGGAGGTATACAGACACAGGAAGGACTTAGGTTGTCAAAGGGCAGTGGTGGTGGGAGCCTACTGTGCAAGCCTCCCTGTCTCTGCACTGCCCTTTGAGGCAAAATCTTCTTTCCTGCATCCCAGGCATGATGAGCTTCCTCCTGCTGCCGTCGCCAGAGACCATGCCAGGGGCTCCCCCATGTCTTGGACTCTGAGCCTGTGAAGCTGCAAGACAGGTGAGCCTCTCCTTCACACACAGAGCCTGCATAGCACTCCATGATGGTGAGGCAGACCTGACACCCACACTGAGTGTGCCTGCTCTGCTGGTGTGTGTTTGTAATCCCACTCACTCGGGAGGCTGAGGCAAGAAGGTAGTGACTTCTAGGCCAGCCTGGGCAACATAGTGAGATCCTGTAAAAATAAGTAAAATGATAGTGAATGTCGTTTAGTGATAAGACTGGTCCTCCTCAGAACCACAGGCAAACAGACAAGCAAAGCAAACCATTGATCGTGTCTGTGACCCATGAAGTAATAATATTGAAAATATGCACGATTAAAAAGTTTAAAATAATCATAAAAGTACAGACAAACTGCTTTTTCGGTAATGTCATTTTATATTTATTTTCATACCATTCATTGGATTATAACTGCATAACTTGTATTATTTATTTTTAAAAATTGATATCTACGTTATGTCTCCAAAAATGTTTTCAATTCAATGCAGTTGGTATTGCTCCTCCTAAGAAATATTTGGCTTTTTTGTAAAAATTATTCTATAATAACAATATTAGTCTGAATTTTAAATTTATTGATTTATATTATGTTTTTCATAAAACCTAGTTTTTTATTCTTTTGGTTTTAAATTTTCATAGGAAAATTTAAAATATCCTATGATATTTTTTATAATTCCACATTTTTCCCTTTTACTTTGTATGAAAAAGGATCTTATATTGTCTAAACTAGAAATGACACCACACAATGGAAATCAAATGTAATGTGATGGTAGTATTTAAAACTCCTCCTAGGAGATGAACACACATTTCTCAGACAAGGAGATACAAACGGCAAATAAATATATGAGAAAATGTTCAACATCATTAGTCATTTGAGAAACGCAAATTAAAACAACACTAAGATTCCACTTTACCCCAGTAAGAATGGCTAGCATTAAGAAATCAACCAATAACAAATGCTGGCGAGGCTGTGGAGAAATAGGAACCCTTCTCCACTGCTGGTGGGAATGCAGACTGGTGAAACCACTGTGGAAATCAGTTTGGAGATTCCTCCGAAAACTAGGTTTAGAGGTCCCATTCAACCCAGCTATCCCCCTGCTGGGTATTTTCCCAGAAGATCTAAAAACATCATATCACAGTGATATATGTGCACCTATGTTTATAGCAGCACAATTTGTAATTGCTAAAATGTGGAAGCAACACAAATGTCCACCCACCTAGGATTGGATAAGAAAATTATGGTACTTTTATATAATGGAATATTACTCAGCTGTAAAGAAAGATAAACTCGAGGCCTTTATATTTAAATGGTCACAACTAGAGACCATACTCATAAGTGAAATAAATCAAACATACATGTGCAAGCACCACATTGTGTCACTAGTGTAAAACTTGAAAGAGTTAATTTAAACTCGGAGGTATGATAGACACTGTGAAATGATAGGAAACCACTGAAGAGTAAAGGGCTTCTGGGATGTGGGAAAAGAGAAGGGAACGAAGGAGAAATTTTGTATGTATGTATATACAGGATAGATAACATGGTTGTTCTTCTGTCTTCTATTTCTATGCTGAAAGAAACTGTCAATGAGTCTTTGGTTGACCAGTATTGCATGTTTATATCTGTTTTCATGAGAAGCCACTTTGAAGATATCAATATGTAATACAACCACCATTGTTAATTCCCTACCACTTTGTTTGTAACTCTGTATTGTCTGTATTGTGCTTGTGATGTGTTGTAAAATGTTGTATGTCTGTTAATGTTTCCCTCCTTTTATCTTTAAAATAAAAAAATAAAAATAAAAAATAAAACTCCTCCTAGGAAATACAGGTTCAACATTATTGTCTTTCCCTTCATGCAGTAGTTTCTCATAATGATTTTTTTTTTTCATTTTAAAGATAATTACACAGGTTACAAGCACATGGCCCAGTGTGGTTTCCCGATCTGAGCACTGCTTTTCAGCTTCAAGTTCCAAGGACAGATTCTTGTTCATCCTCGGTTAGTTTCCCTGGGACCATTCCAGCCCCTGCTTTCCCGGCTCAGTGCAGCACTATCCTGACCTCAGGGAGCACAGATCACTTCCAACATGCTCTGGTTTATTTAAATGCAGTTGTGCGACATCAGTTCTTTAGTGTTTGCATTTTTAATCCCCTATGTTATTAAAGAACTGATGTGTTTTGTTGCACAAGCTCTTGCATCATTGCTAAGAATTTCCATATGTCGTGGCATTCTGTGAATAGCCAGCCAGTGATTTTGAATCTGGCTGCTAATATCCATGTGTGTTTATTTTTTAGAGTATGGTTATTAAAAATGGCACTGATATGTAAAGTCTAGAACTTGTCTTTTTTAAACACATGCACAAATTTCTGTGGGTCCTAGATGTAGGAGTAGTACCTATTGTTGGTACATGTGTTAAGATCTCTCCAGCTTTAGTAGACATTAACAGTTTCCTAGAGTCTTGGTATTAATGGACAAGCCTATGAATAGGGAATGAAAGTCCTGGTATATCAACACCATCACATAACGTTGATATTTCCTCCTATTTTCATTTTAGCGTTTCCAGTTGTTATACAATGCTAAAAGTAGCGGTGCTATTTTCTGGTTCCTGTTGCTTACTGTTACTGTGCAACTGACCATAAACCATGGGGTAGATTCACAAGAGCCTGCCTGGTTCCATTTGCAAGTATTTTCCTGCTGTGTTGTCCGTATATTTGTTACACATTTATAGTCATTTATAGATACTGGAAATGAGCTCTCTTTATCATTTGATGACGTGAATCTCTTACCTCAAAATTAACTATGTTATCATGTCACAACTTAGGGTTAATTCTCGTAGTATATAAATAATTCTCGTAGTATATGAATATTTTCATACACTACAATCACAGACAATATTTTGAAAAGCAATCTGTTTAAAATTCATTTTCAGTGTGGTATGGACTGTGATTCAGAACTTTTTTTTTCCAGTTCACATATTCAAATTTATTCAGAAAATGCCTTGGGTGCTGCTTTCTGTACCGTGTGTTTCACAGATGTGGATCTTGCAAATGTGGCCCAAAAATACATTCTAAAAGGTATGGGAACTGACTATGTGCAGGTGGTTTTCTTTTTAGTATTTCCTAAAAATACACTATAACTTCTATTTACATAGCATTTACATTACCTTAGACATCATGCACAATCTTGAGGCAATTTAAATTGTAGAACAGGATTCCAGAGTTTATATGCAAGTATTGTGCCACTTGTGTATGCAGTTGATCCACTAAGATTCTCCTCCTGCTGCTATCAAGCAGCTGTTCTCTTATGCTTTCCTTCCATTTCTTGTCACTGCTTCACCCCAACTAACACCAGGTCAGCCTTGGTGTGCAGCCCTCTTCTTCTCTCCCCCTGTTCCAGACTCTGTTGTCTCCAGTAATCCCAGAGGACCACACAAGCAACCGGAAATTTCACTATCCCAAATCACCAACGGGCTGGTGATTCCTACATCCTCATAGCAGAATGGCATCTAGGGACTCGGCAATAGGAATGACTTTTCTGACTCAGACAGTCACTGGGATCCTAGCTAATGTTGTCCTTCTTTTCCATTATCTCTCTCTCTGCTTCACTGGATACAAGTTAAGGCCAACAGATCTAATAGCTGAGCACTTGACTATAGCAAACACGGTGATCATGCTGTCTAAGAGAGTCTCACAGACAGTGCAATCATTTGGGATAAAGTATTTCGCTCAGGGTATTAGATGCCTGCTTCCTTTGTGTGTCTACAGAGTGGCCAGAGCTGTGTCAGTCAGTACAACCTGCCTCCTGAGCGTCTTTCAGACCGTGAAGATCAGCCCCATGAGCTCCAGCCGGAAGCAGCTTAAAGCTAACCTTCCCAAGCACATTGGCTTGTCTATTTTCCTCAGTTGGAGGCTCAATATGTTGGTAAATTGTTTTTTTCCCTTTTATAGCATCAACAAATATAGCAGCAAAAACATCACAAAGGAAAAAAAAGGATTCTGTTCTGCTGTCTTTAGAGACAAAATCGTAGATGTATTGTATACAACATTAGTGTTATTCCCTGAAGTTTCATGCTCTGGACTCATGATCTGGTCCAGCGGCTCCATGATTTTCATCCTGCACAGGCACAAGCAGCAGGTCCAACACATCCGAAGCACAACTGTTTCCCATAAATCATCCCCTGAGTCCAGGGCCACCCAAAGTGTCCTTGTCCTTGTGTGCAGCTTTGTGTGTTTTTACACCCTCTCCTCCTTCTTTTATGCTTATCTTGCACATTTCAATATTCCTAATAGTTGGCTCATGAACACCTCTGATCTGATTTCCACCTGCTTCCCTGCTGTCAGCCCTTTCATTCTAATGAGCTGCAACTCCACTGCGTCCAGACTCTGGTTCAAATTGTTAAATGTTTTCAGAAGCATATAAAGTGCACAATTTATCACAAAGACAAATGGTATAAACACAGTATATTAGAGAGGCAGATAGATAAACTAAAGCAGGCTTCTGCTGCAGCCTGTGGTAGATTTCTTGTCTAGGTTACCAGACAAGATGGGATTAATTCTCAGGATAGCAACAAATTGAATAAAATGAATAGTATGTAAAATTTGAAAAGAAAAAATTTAAGGACAGAGACAACCTCTAAGATGGACCCTGGTGATTTTGGAGATTTCTTAAGCTGTGTCAATGCAGAACTCTCAAGTCAATGTGGTAAACTCTAGCGATCTCTTGCGCACAGCATCGTGTGGAAAACTGCCCTAAAACATTCAAGGGAGGAAATAAAATGGGCTTGCTAACAAACACTAGGTCATGCTAATACATGTCTGATGGGAGGGATGCACTCTCAGAAACACTCTGTGTAAGACAAAACTGCACAAATGAGTGGTGAATATTCCAAGGAGGCCCCCTCTATGGGTTGTCAGGCATCTGCATGCATTTTGGGTAGTGGTCCCAAGACTTACAATTCTGAGCAACTTCTTTTCATGACTATTTGTGTAGAATTAATCTTCAAAGGTAGAGACAGCTCCATTTACTGGTCCAAATGTTAGATTTGTTGAAAGTACAGGAACAGCCTTGCGCCCAGGCAGCCAGTTCTCCGGGAGCTGCAGCGCTCCTGGGTCCAAGTGTGGGCCAGACTCATACCACCGCGATTCCCAGCCGAAAAGCGCGCAAAGAGCCAGGTAGGCCGCACCCAATCCCGGAGGCCAGGACGCGAGAACAAAGACCCC